TGATGATGATGATGATGGTCACGGTATGGGTATTATGATGATGATGATGGTCATGGTGGTGGTGTTATGAAATCCCATACCAGCAATTTGGGCCAGTTGTTGCAACAGAGTCAAAAGGTCGAGTAGACCTTGGAAGCAAAATTTTATTTGTACATCAATTTATCCACGGACTCTCCGAAACCCATCTTCTCGAACGACATGTTGGTACATGCTGTCTTGCCAACAATTCGAGCATATTTTCGATGACGAGTGATTGAACTGGTCTTATGGAAGGGATTGAATTGGGCCTAAACGGTTGTCATGACCTCGAACATATTGTACCCCTTGCCTACCCATCACACACACACACACAAACTACTCGTACAATGACATGCTTCAAATGCAAACTAGCATTAGCCCAATGTTGCTTGTATTCCACGAGGACCTCAATGGTTTGGTACCAAATTTGAAGGAAACTGGTCGGCATTTGTGCGATTGTGGCACTTTTTTTTTGTCAGCCTGTCGAGTGACGGCTCTTCTTCACGCTCTCTCTTCCCACCAACAGATCCAATGTTCCACGGACGGAGCGCTCTGCTTTTGCGTGAAGCGATTCTCCGGAGCAGCCGTGGCCAACACGCATCGCTGGGCGCCGGAGCGACCCGACTGCCGATTAGGTAAGCCCGAAGACGGCCTCGAATGGTCGCAATGATGAGACACACTTTTGTTGCCATGGCTGCATCTCGGGTACTGGTGCACCCTGGCACCTTCAATATCGGCAGCGAGAATGGGTTGAGGCAGGAGGTAGTCTTTTCACACAGTCGGGCTACAATCAAAAGAGACAATTATTCTGCAGTTTGTGGCAAATTTTGCCCTCATTTCTAAACGTCGGCAGACTTCGAGCAAAACATTCTGCGAAAGGACTGCATACACTTTGTGCAGACGAGCAGAAAAGTTGCGTTTTGATACGTCTCTCGACGTGAAGAATGGGCAAAACTGGCCAGAAAGACGGGAATCGAGATGATGCCTTCTTCAGTTGCGCCCTCTTTTCACGAAGCAGTCGACCTGTACTCCAAATCGTGAAACCGAGCGGGCAAAAGATGAAATGTTTTCAAACCTGTCTCTTTGCTGATCACAGCACGTCTCGTGTTGACCGCCAAATTGGTGAAAATCTACCGAAATTAACGAACTATAACATGCGTCTGTAAGAGGCCAAACAGTTAGTGCTTCATCAATCACACAGAGTCTGTCCGGTCTCGGCAAACCGACGGATGGCCACACAAAAGGTCGTTGAACCGGGATAACCGGGTATCTACCACTGTTGGTGTGTACACATGAACACACACACCCTGCTTTGGAATATGCGAAATTTGATTGAGTTTGGATGAATCTTCTGAGATGACATTTTTGTGGGGAATTTCGTTTCGTGTGGATTCGTGTGTATATGTGTGTGTGTGTGTGTGTTTGTGTGTGCAATACAGATCTTAATATAGTCATATTGACAAAAGATGCTACCTGATTGAGGCTTTACTTCAACCTTCAGTTTGGCGCAGTCCACGAAGCATCTTCATTCGGTTGACTTGAGGGCGGGCTGAGATTTCGTTCGTCGTGCCACCCGACGGACATTTTCGCAGCCGGTGGTTTCGGCTACATTCACATTTGCCCAACAGTTTCGCAAGGATGTTGTAGGAACAGTTGAGTCTTGCTAAATCACTCTTCATCGCAAGTTTTCACACGAAATTGAGGCAAGCTTTTGGTGATTTGATGGTTCAATTGCAAAACGTGCACCGACTGTGGCTGCTCGGATTGTAGCGATAACCGCTTACCGGCCAGTTGCGACGGGAGATAGAGCACAATTGACTGTGAAGCACAAGTCACTACAAGCTACACAATTCTGCACAATCCCTGGACCACTTGCGGTTTTTCATCCTGCCTACATCTTATCAATAATATGTTGGTTTTATAAGAATTCCCCCAATTATAATGATATAATTTTTAAACAAAATAATAAACTTAAAAATATTATATATATAATAACCAAAATACTCAAAATAAATAATCGATAATACGCTAATTATAATATAATATATACTAATATAAATATTATATATATATATATATACGTGCCAAAATTTTCCACTTATTCCATTATATAGAAAATATTCATAGTGTTTTTTTTTCTTTTTAAAAATTATTTATATATATCTAAGGTGATTAATAAAGATATTATAAAAATAATACTATAAATAAATGAATATATATATATATAAGGAATACAATAATAATATATAATACAAAAACATTATATATATTTATATATATATATATAATATAATTGTAATTATTATTGTAAAATACTATACATAATAATATTAATTTTATATCTATGTATTATCTTAAAATAAACATACGCACATACGAACGTAGATATGAATTGATTTTTTAGAAAATTTCTTACTTATTTTCTATTGATGTTAACTGGTGTAATTATTTGTCTGTAGTTTGTGTTTTCGGATTATTTTGTTGAAAATTTTAGATTTTTGTTGATTCTGAAGCCTATTTTTGTTATTGAGATGATGTTTTTTCTGGTTAATATTTTAATGGTGGCTTCGATTCGTGTCAAATAATAGTTGGATTCTTTGGTTATTTTTTATTTTTCGTTTTATAAGAAAACTTTCGAGTTGTTATATCTCATCAATTCCTTAATTATATTTCTTAATGTGAAAATATTTGGCCGAGTTGTTTTTTTGGCCGGTTACAATTGAGTCAATCAGAAATGTCGTGGATAGTTTCGAGGTGCTAAGGGTGTGATTTTGTGCATTTTTCTACATTCGCAGCAGTAGGTGTCTGATGTGCTCCTTGAAGAGTATGATTAGTGTATGAGTTATGTGTGCCTGACATCAATTTGGTCAGTGCAGTTGTCGCCTAATCTTGTTCGTTATTTTGCGCCAACTGGAACATTTTGCAATAAATAGTTTCAGATCTGACGATTTCCGTTGAGCGGCTCGTGACGGCGCAAGTCTCAGTCCCTTTCGCCTCGAGTCCAAATAGAAGGTCGCTTGGTCTGCGTCAACCTGAACGGCGTAGCAAAGTGATTTAGAAGTTGTCTTTTACGAGAATCTATCTATCAATCTCTGCATCAGACAGCACATCTTCATGCCTGATTACCACAAGTGAAAAATGTACAACCCCACAGAATACACACGACCTGTAGGCTTCCGAGGCTGGTGGTGCATCAAAGCCGATGGAAGCTGTCTCGAGGACCGTCTCGATCGGAAGGTTGCCATGGCGACATTCGATACTGGGCCTGACGGACTAATTCACCGTCTTCGTTGAGGTCCATCCATACAATTCTCTTTAGCATAGACACCTTTTCTCGACATAAAACTAATCGAAATTGCTTTAAATTGGTCGTCATAGCAACGGATTAAAACTGTTGTGGACGTAGTATTGCCTCGACTCGAGAGCATGACGCCATGATACAGTTTGTTCGGTGTGGGTGGGCCCAGTTGCGCTGTCCTCGGCGTAGAATGGGCCCTCAGGGTACCATATGGGGTCAGAGATGTGACCCCGTTGTCGAGTTGTGCTCGGCTCAATGATAAAATAACCCCTTCGGAGGTTGCAAGTATTGCCACAGTAGGGCCCGAAGAATTCCCTTTTTGCTCGGTTGCCAACCGCTACATTGTGCCTTTATTTTGCTTTCAGGTACCAACACTACCG